ACGAGCGTGATGAGCTTACCATAGTAAACAATGACGGTAGTAGCAAAAAAACCACCAGAGAAAAACTGAGATCTCCAACCTTTCAGCAGCACACTTCCCCTTCCACCATGATGACAACGACCTTTCTCAACTTCGCAAAATGTAAATGCTGCATCCTATTCCTCAAGACAAACAACCTTCATAAGAAAATGCACGAAAATTGCATGACAGACGCCCTTTTGGTGACGAGGTTGCATACAACATAAAATCCTACTCCCAAACCTATCACATCCCATTGAACGAATGTCTCAAGCGAGTTTCAGAGATTGTGGTATCGTAATACAGTTTATGAGAACTACAACACAAGATAGTGGCACTGCTGTAACCTCATAACGGAGGCTATTGAGACACGACACTGATTATCGGAAGAAAAAGCCGCGAAGCTGCGAACTAGATGGTAAAACCAGATGAGAAAACTGGAAAAGAAATACGGACAAGATAAACAATAAGAGTATTGTCTAATACACATACATCATCGCCTCAAGCTTCACGCGCCACGAAATTGCTAGGCTGTTGTTGTGACTTATCGGCAGCAGTCACCGTCGAAAAGGCGGCTGAGGAGGTGGTCGGGGAAGACACTAGGCTCTTGGAGCTCGACTCAGCCTTTCTCTGGGCCATGCGCATCTTATCGAGTAGATCAAGAGCATGCTTGATACCGCGATCGATACCAAAACCTGAACACATCTGGTGAAGGGGAAGGGGCGTCGTGGCTGGAGAACTTACAAGACGCTGCTCCGATAACAGCCATAGCAGTGCTCATATAGAAGGGATAGGCATGATGGACGGGACTCATATCGTAGAGAACTCCGGCCAGAAGTGGGCCACAAATACCGCCTACGAAGGGGAATGTCAGCATTGCGGGGAAGGAAGCACTCACCGGCGTTGGACATAGCAATGACGAGAGAGTTTATCAGCCCCCTTTTCTTCGGCGGGGAGATGACGGCATTAAAGTAAGGTAGGCCGCCGAAATAAAGGTTACCTAGTACAGGAATAGTGGAACCAGATGATGTCACTAAAAGTTGGTAGTACCCCCAATGTTGACCAACATGCCCAGGAAGACAGCTGCATAGAGATTATATATCCAAGGTACAGCAATAACGACCACACATATAATCTGACCAATGAACCCAATACGGGCAGGGACCAAGTAACCTAAAGCAAAGCTGCATACAGCACAAGTATAGTGACAGCATGCCATGTACGTGTGAGAGGGACGTAGATAATGTTGGCCACGATCGCCACAGCAGCTTGCACGCCCATCACCACACCATTGCTGGACGAGGAGAGGTGGAAGCGGTCAGCTCCCAATAAACCGAAAACGGTATTCCATGTTAGATAGACGTATCTCGAACGTGGGTACATAATACGACGGGGCAACGGATATGATTCTTACTGTCTGCAGAAGGCGGCGATCCCGAGGCAGATGACAGTCGGGATAAGCCATTTGTTTTTGGGGTACTCCACATTCTCCTCTTCAACCTTCTTCACTCTGGAAAC